CAGCAAGGAGGAGGCACAGAAAAGCTTCCTCACATCTTGCGGAAGGGAAGCAAAGGAGGAGGGACTGGAAGCTAGGGATAACCTTCAAGGGCATCTCCACCATACAAAGACGGGCAGATGGAAGCAGGTGGAAAGTTTCAAGCCAGAATGAACTCAGGATCCTGAAATGTTCTCCACACACTAGTCAGGCTACAACACAGAGGCAAAGTGAGAATGACAAAGGATGAGTTGGAAGTGATGGGAAGGACTGGACTGAGCAGAGCTCTGGAGAGGATGATGTGAAACGTAACTTAGGTAACTACTGGAGGAGTTTATGGTAGCATAGCAGTTTGCTGTTGGCTAGCTTCTTTAATCCCTCTCTGGTTGACACATGCAAATTGGGTAAGGATTGGTCAAGAACTGAAGAGAATAGTGGCTGCCAGTGCCAGGCCTGGACAAAGACAACAATACAGCAGGTTAAAGGCTAGCATGATGGGACTTTCTGGTACACTGAGTGTACGGATTAGGTAAGAGAAGTGCATGTGTTCAGGTGTGCAAGTGCTGTTTGCCCATCCTCTTACTCACCAGGTCTCTGTGTCTTAGTGATTAGTTTCTTTGCTCACTGAAAATTCTTAGCTTGAACAGAAGAACAGAAAAAGAATAAGACAGAATGTGTTGTTGTTTGAATTATTCATTCATTCATTCAACAGATATATGTTGGGCATCTGTCATGTTCCGGGCATTCTGAAATTGCATAAATTCTTGCCTACATGCAACTTATTTCTACTTGCTGTGTATATATGTACTTGTAAGCAAAGATAAGTGCATAAAACTAGGTGTGGAGGTTCACACCATTCATTCCAGTACTCTCAAAGCTGAGGCAGGCCTTTGTGAGTTCAAGGCCAGCTAGCCATCTTGGTCTGCATAGCTTAGTTGACAAACTGTCTCTGATAAGACATCATGTGGCTGTGAGAAAAAGCAAGCCACGTGGATTTGGGGGGTTACTCCAGCCAAAGACACAACAAGCATAAAGACCCTATTAGTGGTATCTCAGGAGCTGCAGAGAGGATGGTGAGTCTCCTCCAGTGATCGTTATTTCTCCTGTTGTGGAAAAAAAAAACAGATTGACAAAAGCAACTTAGGGGAGAAGTGTTCCTAGTTCAGGGCTGCAGTGCACACGCTGGGGAAATGAAGACAACAGGAACCTGAGGAAGGTTATGTCTGAAGTTCACGCTCAGCTAGCTTCCAGCATTTAGGACACATGCCCGGGGAGTAGTGCTGTCCTCCTTCACGGCAGGTCTGCCCCACCTCAATGACCTAGTCAAGATGACCCCTTCCAGGTATCCCCAGAGGCTAACCTAACCTAAATAACCACTCACAAGTGTGCTTTGCCTGCTAGGGGGTTCCAGAGCCTGTCAAACTGACAGTCAACATTAACCATCGTGATGTAGGGAAGGTACAGCCGGAGGTGATGCTTGAGAGGTAGTGGGGACCGAGTCTCTTAGGGCTTTATGGTAAGGAATCTGTATCTGACTGCAAGGTTAGGAACCCCTGGAGTGTCTCTGCCTTCCTTCCTTCTTTGTTTTTTGTTTTGTTTTTTTCGAGACAGGGCTTCTTTGTGTAGCTTTGGCTGTTGTCCTGGAACTCACTCTGTACCAGGCTGACCTTAAACTCACAGAGATCTGCTTGCCTCTGTCTCCTGAGAGATGGGATTAAGGGCATGTGCTACCACTGCTGAGCTTATGTTTTTCTTGGGGATCTTTCTTGAAGAGTCTCATTTACAGCCCTTGTTTCTGTTAAAGGATGAGATAACTCATTCCTAACTGATCTACAGTGAAGCATAAATAGATCAATACTTACATCTATCCAGATGACACTTATGGGTTAGACAAAGCCCCTTTGTTTTAATTACAGTATAATCTAGAAGTATATTTCAGAATATATGCTCCAAAAGCATTGAACCCAAGACCCTGAAGAAATATGTGTCCACTTGTATCCATAGTAGTGTTCCTCCTAGTAGCCCAGAGGTGGAAACAACATCAAATATCTGCCCATGTATAATCAAATAAAAACAACCAATGGAGAATTATTTGACCTTTAAAAGTGAGGGAATCCATTCCCAAGCTACAACCTGTGTAAACCTTAAGGTCATTGTGTTAAATGAAACAAGCCAGTCACAAAAACTCAGTTATTTTGTGATTCCACAGATGTGCATTATATAAAGTTGTCAAGCTCACGGAGACAGAGGGTAGGATGGTAGCTGCTCTGCTAGAGACTGGGAAAGGGAGGAGTGGGAGGGGTCAAACCTATAGAGTTTCTGTTTCAAAAATTGGCAAAGTTTTGGAAATGGGTTGCACGGCAGGACAGATACACTTCCTACTGAACTACATATTCAAAAGTCCTTAGGTAGCAAATTTTGCTGGCAATTTTATGGTTTACCACAATAAAAGCCTTTATGATTGGCAACTGCCTTCTCTAAGTTAAGAATTTCCTAACAAGAGTCAACTCAAAGACTGTAACTGGGGGGGGGGGGGGGGGGAGACAGATCAAGAATAAAATGATAGCAGGAACATATGTGTCCTAAAAGTTTGAAAGCTGCTGACGCCCTCATCCCCATTCCTACCCAAGTCAAGATATTGTTACCCAAAGCAGCTTTGGATATGATATCTTCTCTTGGCAAAGTCTGTTCTTGTGGGGACGGAGAGGGTGCATGATTGAGGGGAAGTGAGGAGGGACTCATTGTTCTTTCAAGGCATTCCAATCGCCAACTGTCTTTCTTCCATCTGTCACCAACCTAAACTGTAGCTCTTTTTAAAAGATTTACTTCATTTTAAAAAGTGTGTGTATGTGTGTGCTGTGTGCGTGGTATGTGCACAAGAGCACAGGTGCCCACAGAGGCCAGAAGAGGGCCAGATCTCTTGGAGCTGGAGTTATAGATGGTTGTGAACTACAAACTCTGGGTTCCAGGAACCAAACTCGGGTCTTCCGCAGGAGCAGTGTGGATTCTTAACTGCTGAGTTATTTCTGTAGACCCCAAGCTACAGTTCTTCACCCTCAGCTGCATGCATGAGGATAGCCTAGGTATGGTGACTATGTGCAGATAGATGGGACACCCGTTAAGATGCTTTCTTGCCCCTTCTCCCTCTTTTGATCTTTCCCTTGTGTCTGAAATAGGGTTCCTGTGCTCAGTCAGCACTGGTCTCTGATTCTCTGGGCCTTTGAGACTTAGAAAGTGGATACAGGTGCTTTACTTAAGATTCCTTTTTATGTGATGCCATCAGTACCAGGCAGGAAGCCCCTCCCTTGGCCTTCAGGCACCACTTCTCCTCACCCCTGATTTTTTCACATTCCTCTGTGAAAAGCTGGAGTACCTTCGGGCCATTGTCCCACCTTCGAGATTCAATTCCACTCTAGTTATCATGGTTAATGTATGAGATTTTAATGTTCCCTCCTGAGCCATGCTACACCCAGTTAAATCAGGCTTTGGTGATAATTAGAACAGAGGTGACCGACATGGGATGTGCCTGTCTGGCTTAGTTGTTATATGATGTATTTCTTTAAAACCGCTAATTTATATGACAAATCTGGGAGGCTTTGTTGGCTAGCATAATTAATTTTATTGAAGGAAGAGGTGGTGTTTTTTTCCCCTAACACTTTAGATGAGCTCACTCATCTGTATAAACTCTGAAAAATGCTCTCATATTGTTTCAGTACCCTTACAGAATCTAGGCCAGACATCAGCAATAGAGTTCAAGTGCTTGCAATAGGTATCCCAGAAATATTATCATCCAAAAGCCAAAATGGCTACAGAGAGCCTGAATACAATATAGGAAATATGTGAGCAGTTGTGATTAATTCACAGTTAATTATTTCATAGCTAACATTTTCAAAACTGATCATCTGCCTTCTCCTTTCTTAAGCAACCTCCTGGGATTGCCAGGTGCTCCGCCACTGGCCCCATAACACCAAAATGACATTTGGTGACTTCTCCCCCCGTCCTATGTCTCCAACTGGTTTTACTCCAAAGTCCTTCCATTATGACTAGCAGGCAGGCATTTGGGTTCCACATTAGGCTTTAACCTGGCTATACTGGATTAAGTGATGGCAACTTCTCCACAGTATAGATCCAGGAGCCCATTTGCAGTCTTCAGACAAAGCAGCTGTTCTCATAACACAGAGACAACCTGGTTTTGCAGCACACACGTGCATGTGTCTGTCCATCCCCCAGAGCAGCAACCACTGCCCCCATCTTTCCGTCTTTCCTTATTGCCCATGGGAGTGGATTTTAACAGCTCACTCTGGTGTTTTCCAGGTCAACTAGCATTTATCAGAGTATGAGCAAACCTAGTTCCCTGCTAGGCTAAAGCTTTTTGCCTGCTGGCCCTCAGTCTTGCTGGCAAATTCACTTATCCTGTTACTGAAGTATCCTGTTGATGAGGCATTCCTTACCCAGTATTAAAATCAACTTCCTTGGGTTTCCAGCAAATGGCCTCATGGCCTGAGCAACTGAGTACCTACTGGGTTCTCAGCCTTTCCATCTCCAGTTCAGTTCATTTAAAGCAGTAGCTACAGATTCCTGATCCCGTCTTTACTCGTGGGATAGAATAGATTTTTTAAAAATTGTGTAACTGTTCTTGAGGAAGCATTATATCTCCTTAAACCAGAATTACAGATGATTGTGAGCCTCTTCTGGATGCTGGGAATTGAACTCAGGTCTTCTGAATGAACAGTCAGTGCTTTGAATCCCTGAGCCATCTCTCCAGTCCCGCAGGCACAAATGTTGGAGCTCGGTGTTTTAGGTCACACTGCATGCATGAGTTTTCCTTTCAGAGTGCAAGGAGAAAAACATTCTCCATTTCAGAAATGATATAGCAAGACCAGAAAGAAGGGAGTGAGAAAGAGTCGTTGGTACAACCCCTGAAAGAAAAACCACAGGCTGTCAACATCAGTTGTACAGGGAAATAGGAACTGAAAGCAAAGGGAGCTGGCTTTCAACCCTGCACCAACGGAAGTCTAAAACAGGGGCATCCATTCGGACAACAGTGTGGAAGTTATCATTATATCTCTGCGACTTGTGAAACATGACATCAAACTCTGTTATTTGTCCTTAACTTGAGAACAAAAGGACTGCCCAAAAGGATATGAGGAAGGAAGGTGAGAGAGACGGCATCAGGACCCCACTTGAAAGGCTTTTTCCCCATCTCTTAACTGCTTTTTAAAAATTCATGGGCTATGGCTGTTACCCGGCAGCACAGTGCTTGCCGGCCATGCACAGACCCAGAGTTTGATATTTATAATCCCTAAAACATCAAAATCAAAACAAAAATTGTGCATGTAAGGCTTTTAAATTTTCTTTTATTTTTGAGATTATAATAGAATTAGATCAGTTCACTCTTCTTTTCTCCCCCTTTAAGCCCCCCCCCATATACCCTTCCTTGCTCTCTTTCAAATTCATGGCCTGTTTTTCATTAATTATTGTTGCATACATACACACAAGTATGTATATGAACACATATAAACATATTCCTAAATGCATAAGTGTCTACACCTGCTCAGTTTATATAACGACACTTGTATATATCCGTTTATTTTCAGGGATGATCGTTCGGCATTGAACAACAAGTTGATGTGCTCCTCCCTGGGGAAGACTGTCTGTCCTTTCCCAGCATCCCAGTTGTCTGCAGCTCCCTATGCAGAGGTGATGCTCCCTGGCCCCATTCTCCCATCCATTTTAGCATGTTCATGGTTATTGTCCTTGTTCGGTTCACGTCATGTTAGGCAGTCGTGTTGGAGAAACTTCATAGGGATGTGACCTCTGACGTTACCTCAACATCTTCTCTGATCCCCTGGCTCTTAGAATCTTTCTGCTCCCTCTTTTGCAGTGACCCTAAGCCTTACACGCAGGAGTCAGATTACAGACTTTTCCTTTGGGAGTGGACTCCACACTTTGATTGGCTGTAGCTTACTATAATGGTCTCTGTTGCAAAGAGGAGTGTCCTTGATGGGGGATGAGGACTACACTTATCTGTAGGGTTTTATTCAATCCTCTATGAGGAAAAAATGAACTTTCATTTTTCTTTTCTATCAGTTTAAACTTCAAGGGAAGATAAAGTATGTGAACTTGTTTGACATTAGTGTATTTTATTAATAAAATAAATGCCTCTTTCTACAGCTTGTCTCCTCAGTGGGATGTAGTACAGGAAAAGGAGGCCTATGATGGAGACAGCAATCTCTGAGGAATGGCCATCAGACTCTGCGTATGATAGCTGTCTGTCAGTGCAGAAATTATATGCCCATTCCCAAGGTGTTGCCACTGTGTCTCTGATTTTAGGAATTTTTTAAAACATAATTCTTTCTGTTTACTGTATTTACTTTGCAAATGGTTCACAACTGACCCCAAGTTGAATTAGGATACCTACTAGTGCACTTTCTTATGTGTTTTTAATAGCCCTCTCGCATGTGTGTGTCTGTGTGTGTCTGTGTGCAGTGATACATACATGTATGTTAACATTAGTGTGCAAAACAAGGCTGCATCACACATGGGGATGTTAGAGGAGAGCCTAAAGCATTGTTCCTGTTTTTTTCCCCACTGGATGAGCCAGGCTAGCTGGCCTGCAAGCCTCCAGGGGTTCCCCTGTTTCTGCTTCTCGTGTCTATGGGAGTGCTGAAATAACAGAAGTGTAAGATACTTGGTCTGAATTTACTTGGTTATGGGAATTTGAACCCAGGTCTTCATAGTTACTCAGCAAGCATTTTGTCCATTGAACCATCTCTACGTCCTACCATCTTTATTTCTAAAGCTTAACTGAACTATAATTTACTTATAATAAAGTTCCTTTCTTCAGTGATTCTGAGTACGGCATGGAGTTGAGCACCATCCCAAGCTCATTTTAGAACTTTGCCATTCCTTGCCCTCATCCTCAGCCCAGGGGACACTTCTCATTCATGTTGTTTCTGCCTTCTGGAGACATTTCTTGTAAAAAGAACTCTTATCTTATGTTAGGTGATCTTTTGTCTGTGGTATCTTGCACTCTGCACATGGGTTGAACACTCCCCCATGTGGAGGTGTGTATCACTACTGGATTCCTTCTTATGGCCAGAGAGTATGCCACTAGGTGGAGACAGCACAGGCTGTGTACCCCTTCATCTATTGCTGGGTTCTGGGTCTAACAAGTCCAGGCCATTATAGCTAAAGCTGCTCCAAATGGTCACATTTGACCTTTCTGTGTGTACATAGACTCCATTTCTTTATTTTTAATATCCCCGCACCCCATGTTTTGTGTGTGTGTGTGTGTGTGTTTGTGTGTGTGTGCACATGAATGCAGTGCACAGAGAGGCCAGAAGAGGGCATCTGATCCCTTGGACCTGTAGTTTCAGGTAGTTGTACACCAACAGACATGGGTTCTGGGATCTGAACTCAGGTGCCCTGCAAGAGCAGAATGTGCTCTTAGATATTGAGCCATTTCTCCAGCTCCTCCACTTCCTTTTCTCGAATCAGAGGACACAGTCCTCAAGCTTTTCCTACTTCTTTTCACCACATCTTTGCAATATCAAACACATCCAGAAGAATGTACCACAGACCCTGGAGGTGAAGCCCAAGGAAAGTATTTCATAAAATTACTCTCAACTCCCACATCCCACTGGGTGGAGAGCATGATCTCCTGGCACAATTGCTGTGAGAAGAGAAAACTCACTTCTCAAGCACGCTTAGGTATGTTGGTTGTAAGATAGTTAATCTTATGCGTACAGTTTAACTACAACAGTTTAGTATTAACACCTTGTGGGTAGTTAGCTGCTTGATAAATATTTGATGAGTGGTTTTTAAAATACCCACCAAAGTTTAATTTTGGAAAGTAAAACATCAAAAGATTCAATGTTTAACAGTATTTCTCCATTTTGGGTAAAGAGCTAAGGCCCTCCGAGAAAACACAATAACTAGCCTAGAGGGCCCCCAGTTACAATTACCTATGCAGTAGCCTTATTAATCTTCCTTGGCTCAGAAGGCCCTAGTGGAAGCAATTGCTTCAGGCTTGGGCTAAGGGACAATGTTTGTGTTGGGTCTTCATGCATGTTCGGTGGACTGAGGTTAGACCTTCCTAATGCACAGGGGAGGCAAGTCTCTCCTAGCGAGCACCAGAGCCTTGCAGGCACATTTTCCTACAAGGTAGTTTGGCCTGCATCCAATACAGGCTAACTTGTTCTCATTCACTTCTTTGCACTCTGTTCCAAGCCTGTGTGGTTACATTTGAGCTGTTAACTCCACACACTACAACCACAAGGAAACCCAAGCCTCCCTGCGGCCTTTCTGCGGACATGTTAGCCGCCATTTTGGGTCCAGGATTTTGCTAATCCCTCTATGCCTGTGGTCTGTGGGCTCGGAAGTGGCTTGCAATGAAAGAGCATCTCTAATTGGACAGATGAATATCCTAATCTGAGTTTTCCCAGAGCTCAAGAAGATAGTGGATTAGAGAGACATCTTATATGCCTGCCTGCAGTGCCTGCTCTGTGGCCTCTTTCTTGGTCTGGCTGCCAAGACCAGAAACACACAGGGTCTTCCAGCCAGGCCCAAGAACTCAACAGCTTCAGCCAGCTCATCTCCACTATCATGTGACTTTCTTAGTTTCTTTTCCTATTCCCATGATAAAACAGTCTGACAAAGGCAACTTAAGGGAGAGAGGAGTTATTTTGGCTCACGGTTCAAAGATACGCTGATCTTGGGGAAGCCAAGGTTAGAAAAGCTTGTAGCAGCTGCTCACATTCACAGTCAGAAACCAGAGAGCAATAAATGCTAATACTACTCAGGTCCTTTTCTCCATTTCTCCAACCCAGGATCCCAGGCAGGCCATGATACCGCCCACAATGAGTGGGCCTTCCCACATCCATTGGCATAATCAGATTATCTCCCACAGACTTGAAAAGAAGCCCGTCGCTCAGATGATTCTCGAGTTGACAGTTAACACTATCACAATGTTCAAAAGTGCTTTCTATTTTAATTTCCAAAGCATATGTTCTCATGCATATGCTCATCTATGCAGAATGCTGGCTTTCAAATTTATTATAGATTAGATTAAGGCATGTAGTGGCAACATGCCTGTAATCCCAGCCCTCAGAAGGCTGCAGCAACAAGAGCATAATCAGTTTGAGAGTAGCTAGGTCTTCATGGTGAGTTCCAGATCAGTAAGAGCTACCAAGCAAGGCCTTCTCTATAAATAAACAAGATTTAAATAATTTTCCCCATACACTATTAAACTTCTTAGTAGACATCAATTTAAAAACATACTGAGCATTTTAATGCTTCCTCGTTATTCAATTGTCTTCCTTACAGAAAAGAAAATCATGAGCTGAAGAGATGGCTTTATGTGTGCTCGCTGCACACCTGCGAGGATCTGACCGCAGGACCCATACCAATATGGCTGCACTGGCATCTGTACCCACAATGCTGTGGGGTTAGGGACAGAAGCATTGCTGGGGCCAGCCCAGCTCACGGTTTAGCAGGAGACCCTGACTCAAGAGAGAGGATGCTGGAGCAGGACACCGTGCATCCTCTCTGGTTTCTGTGAGTGCATGTACAGGTGAGCACTCGAGCACACACACACATGCACATATTCTGTGTGCACACACATGGGAGAAAAAAGAAAACAAAAACAAAAACACCAGAAGCGAAAAACAACCGCAGCAAAAATAATTTCAACCGTCTAAGTGTCCAGTTACACTCCCAGCACACAGGAAGCTGAGGCAGGGAAATTAGGAGTCTGAAGCCCACTTGAACACAGAAAACAAATAAACAAGAGACAAAGTCTTTTTTCAAAAAAAAAAAAAACCTCAAACAAAACAATAACCTCCCCTTCTCTTGGTGCCACATTCCTCTGCTTTGGTTTCCAGCTATCTGCTGTTGTCTGAAATACTAAATGGAAAATTCCAGAAATAAAAAATTCATAGGTTTTAAATTGCACACTGTTCTGCGTGGCGTGCTGAAATCTTGCACTGTGTGTCCTACCCTCCCAGGGTGGACATCATTTCTTTGTCAATAAGATGTTTCCACTTAACTCACCATGACATAGTCCTGTAGCCACTGTATCTTTTTATTATTTATTTGTGTTAACTGTACTTAATTTGTGGATCAAGCTTCAGCATAGGCTTGTACATGTGGAACAATATTCATAAGGCTGGGTACCATCCACAGTGTCAGGTGTCTGCTGGGGGTCTTAGGTAGTATCCCCATATGTATAGGGGGACCGTGGGTGATGTCACCTTAGGCAATTACATGCCTTCTCCTGGGATCCCTGCTGTCCAACTCTGTTCTTATGCAGTGATCTTCACTTTCCTTTCCCCTTCAACAACAATCCTCCTCATCTTTCTCCAAATTGTTGACTCCTTGGCCCCTCCCCCCCACCCCTGGGCACTTTATTTTGTTTGTGCAGCGTTCTTTCCTTCTCTACTCCAGCCCTGTACTCTAAGGGCACTTTCTTTTTCTTACCCAGGGGCAGGCAATGATCCAGTTGGCCAGCCAGAGCCCTTTCCTGTACTTTTCCAACAGAACTGAAAGGAAACAGGGTTCTTTGCTTTCTGATGAAAACATTCTCATATTTAAGCAAGTCCCAGACGGCTGTTGTCAATTGTAACCCAAAGCTTTGATTTTTTTTTATTTCCACCTTCCACCACATTATTTTGTCCAGGCTTTTTCTGATTTTGTAAATTTAATGCTGCCTTTTTAATTAGCAATTTTTAAGACGTGGTATGGGGCAAGAGAGATGACTCCGTGGTTAAGAGCACTTGTTACACCATCGTGAGGACCAGAGTTTTGGATCCCATCACCCACGTAACATCCACATAAACACCATCCATAAGCTGGCCTCAAATTAGCTATGTAGCCAAAAGATGGCCTCTAAGTCTAATCCTCCTGCCTCCACCTCCCAAGTGCTGGAACTACAGGTGCACACCAGTATGCCATCCAAACTGTTTTTGAAAAGGGAAGGAGTCCAAAACAAAAGTATCACACTGCTTTGAAGATTTAGGGGTCCATATCAACACCTGTAACCCCAGCTGTCATTGGGGCAGAAACGGAAGGAGAGCTGCAGCTTGCTGCCTTCGCTCTTTGTTGGGGAATATGATTTTAAGGTGTGTTACTTTCGTTTGTGCTGCATGTGTTAATCTCTGTGAAGCTGTGTCCCTGTGCCCGTCTAACGCACCTGATGGTGTAATAAAGAGCTGAATGGCCAGTGGTGAGGGAGGAGAGAGATATGGGTGGGACTGGCAGGCAGAGAGGATAATGAGGGGGAGGAATCTGGGAGACGGAGGAACAAGAATAAGGAGAGGAGGATGCAAAGGGCCAGTCACCCAGCCACACAGCTAGCCACGGAGTAAGAAGGAAAGTAAGATATAGAAAAGTAATAAAAGGAAAAAGCCCAGGGGCAAAAAGTAGACAGGTTAATTTAAGAAAAGCTGGTAGAAATGAACCAACTTAAGGCCAGGTGGTTATAACTAAAACTAATTCATTGTGCAAGATTTATATGGGAGCTGGATGGTGGGCCCCCCAAAGAGCTAATGAGTAAAAGAGGAAAAAAAATTCACAACATTTTGGTGGCCAACATGGGACTGCATTTTTCAGGTAGGGCCTGAGAAAGCTGAAAAAAAAAAAAGTACAGGGCTCCTTTAAGAGCCCTTGAAAAACCAGTACATTAAGTAGGAACAAATAAACAAAGTAAAAATGCCTGAAGCAGCACAAATATCACCTTCTAGCTGAGAAAACCTGAGTCCTGGATTCAAAGAGAGACCCTGCCTCAAAGGAATAGATGAAGAGTAATAGATGAGGGCACTTGATACCACCCATGGCCTCTGCCTTTGTATATCTGTGCACGAAAGCACACACACACATGCCACACCTTTGTTAGTATATACTCACACACATGCATAAACAAGCTAACAAAGTGAATCTTCAAAGCGGTGTGCTACTTTTGTTTAGAAGCTTAGTGCATTTAGCATCATGGCGGGAAGCAGACAAGCAGACTGGAGCAGTAACGGAGAGCTCTACATCCTGATCTGCAGGCAGCAGGCAGAGAGAGAACGATGCCGGGCCTGGCATGGGCTTTTGAAATCTCAAGCTCACTTCCAACGACACACTTTCTCCAACAAGGTCACACCCACTCTGAGAAGGCCAGACCTCTTAATCCTTCCCAAACAGTTCCGTTAACTGGGTACTAAGTGTTGAAACATGTGGGCCTATGAGGTTCATTATCGTTTAAATTACCACAGGAAACATCTGTTTGGGAAAATTTCCAATTTATTGGTTGGATTACTTGTTCTTTTGTTTTTTGGGTTTCTTTTTAAAAGCTCTGTATATGTTTTGGATATTAAACTCCTGTTCTGTGAGGAGCTGGTAAAGATTTTCTTACATTGTGTAAGCTGCCTCTTCACTCTACTGTTTCCTTTGGGGTGCAGAAGGTTTCAGTGTCCTGCAATCCAATTCTTGATACTATCTCTTGAGCTGTTGTAGTCTTGTTCAAAAAGTCCTTTCTTAGGCCTCTAGTTTGAAATGTTTCCCCAGGTTTTTTTTTTCTAGTAGTCTCAAGCCTTACATTAAGCCTTTGATCTGGACATCCTAATTTTCCCAGTATCGTTTGATGAAGAATACCTGGTTGTTAAATATACATCTTTCCAGTTTTGCCCAGTATCAGATGGTCCTAGAAGCATGAGGTTACTTCTGCGTCCTGGGACCTCTATTCTATTGTATTGATCTACAGATCTATGTTTTACACCAATGCCATGCTGTTCTTGTTACTACTGCTCGGCAGTGTAATTTGAAATTAGGTATCGTGATACCACCAGCATTACTCTTCTGCTTGAGGTTGCTTCGTTCATTCAGTGTTTTTTATATTTCCATCAGAATATCAGGATCAGTTTTCTAGATCTGTGACGAGCATCTTTAGGATTTTGGTGGGGATTTCTTTGAAACTATAGTCATCGATCTGACAGTTTTAGCCAATACTTATTCTCCCAATCCAGAACATGAGGAGAGATCCTTCTAGCTTTCATTGTGGATATCTTCCATGTCCTTGACTAAGTTTCTTCTGAGGGTTGTGAATGGAAATGTTTTCCCAATTTCTTTCTTGGCATGTTTGTTAGTGGTACATGGAGAAACTAGTGATTTTTATGTGATGATTTTGTATTCTGTTACTTTGATGAAAATAATTTTCAGATCCATGAGTTTTCTGGTGGAGTCTTTAAGCTCATATTGCCTGCAGATGAGGGTGAGCTGACCTTTCCTTCATTATTTGTACCCCTTTTCTTTCATTTTATAGCTCTGGCTGACTTAAGTGAAATGCTTTCAATTTTCCACGATTGAAAATACAGTTAGCTATTGTTTTATCATACACAGGTTGTATTATATTGCAATACAATCTATTTCTATTACTTCAGCTGCCTCTGGGAGAGCAACTCAGGGGGTTGAGCGATCTCCCACGTGAGGTTCAGAGCTCACACATTTACAGACATCCAAAGATACAAAAGGATTTGCTCTCTAATGCAGAAAACAGGATCATCAAATACCATGCCCTGAATAGCCAGAACCTCTCAGCAGTTTGCATCTGACTCTCCCCCTCTCCACAACCGTCTCTCCGGTCTGTCTCCTACCCAGATAATGTGGCAGGGAGTCCTGAGGCTCTCTCACTTGTCCCTTGTTTTCAAGTCCCCAGAGGAGATCACACACGATAGGGACCCTGTCAACATGGTGCCTGGAAAAAGCACTCCAAGACACGGGGAGCAATGAATTTCTCTAACACTGGCTTGTTATTCTGGAAGAGTCTCCATTATATTAAATCCATACAATGGACTTAAAATTTTGGGGAAATAGGGTTTCTCTAGTCTCTCTGTGTCCCTCTCTGACTCTCTGCCCCTTCTCTGTCTCTGTCTCTGTCTCTGTCTCTGTCTCTCTTTCTCTCTCTGCTGAGGATTGAACATGGGGCCTTGTCTATGTTAGGCAAGGGTTCGTTCACTGAATGGTTACACCCCCACATCCCAGGTTAGCTTTCTAAATGACAGGTGTGATCTCAAAGCTATTTACAGTATTGAAATGCAGAGAAGGTTGGAAACATCATAATAAAACAACACAGGGACCAGAAGCTCTGCCTGAAGTTTGAGACAGCACAACATCCGCATCCCGTATGCTGCCACGTGGTTCTGTGCTTCCCAGGTTTCATGCTTTTCCCTGGTTCTCAATATGAATTTCATCTGGTGGAATAGAAAAGGTAACTGGCAAAGAATACATAGAATATTGATGTAGCTACTCGAGGAGTGTGCTTCACTGAATCATGGTGTTCTTCTATGACAAATAGTTAAGGAATAGATTGTCTTAGAAACTTTTAGATTTTCCCAGTAGGGATCATAGTATGTCAGAGAAGGAATTCTAAAGTTGAAAAGATGAAAAAACACAATTCCCAGAGACCACAGGCCTTTCTAGCTTTTTCCAGCCAACAGAATTGACTTAGGGCAGGAGGGGTTCAAAAAAAGAGGGAGTGGTGAACTCTGTCGGGATTTATACAAGATGGCTTGCAATTTGTGCAGCCTAGGGCAAAATGTGGAATTCCACATTCA